GTTTTGGTTTTTTTTTTCCCCCTTTTCTCCAGACTAGTGTGGTGAACTATATTGACCAGAGAACTAAACCAAGAAGTGACCAGCTGTTTTTTGTGGTATTCGAATGGAAAGATCCTTTCATACAGACCGTTCAAGATGTGAGTAACGCTAGTCCCTTTTTGAATCGTTGCCTGACCCTACGTGCCCATGGTGTGCGTGCGTGCGTGCGTGTGCATGCCTCTGCTACCTCACTCCAAGCAGGAATTCAGAGGAAGAGTGAGGTTACTTCTGAAATTGCAGTCTAGGCTCTTCCTTATATCCAGTAGTGCACGTTCTGCGGGGGGCAGGACCATCTGATGCCTTTCCCTTGGCTTGGTGACACTCAGCATTCTGTTTGCAGCTAGAGGTACGTGTAGCTAAGAAGAAGCATGTGTCCCCTGTGCTCTAGCAAAGTGTAGCTTCAGGTCAAGCCTGAACTTTTTGCTTAAATAAGTGTGCTTGGATAAACCCATTTAATTACTTTTTTAATTAATCGACAAGTGAGAAACCTCAGCTTAAATCAGAGTAATAAAAATAGCCAAGTATATTTTTTATCCGTTACTAGAATAGAATTTGGTACTGCGTTCAAGTGCACAAAAAGCCCTTTAAAATTTGGCTCAGTACGCTGCAGCCGGAGGCATATGAGGTGCCAGACAAGACCACTCTCAGTCACTGGAGTGCTTAAAAGGTGTGCAGGTGTGCGCTGTCGGTACGTGCGCTTTACGCGTGGGAGCTAGATCTTGTTTTCCTAGTGTTCTAGGGGGGAAGGCCAGATACGTTTGCCCTCCCCAGAAAAATGCAGAATGGCAGAGTGTGCAAAGACAATCTGTTTAAAATTTTGCATTTAAAGTGGCCCTACCTGGCAACCAAAGTCCATCACCAGCCAAAGCCGCAGAGCTGTTGTTTTCTTCCCCAAAACCAGAGTGTGAACGCAGACCGTGCGGGGTGGGATCGGGCAGCTGGTCCTTTGCGCTCCGGCTGTCGTGTCTGTGCTGGGGCTGGGCACCCCCTCAGCCTCGAGAGCCCAGCCCTGGTCCCGGCACCGCTCGCTCCTCTCTGCCAGGTGGGGTTCACGCCCCTGCCGGCTTCGAGCCGAAAGCTGCCCTTGATCCAGTGGAGTGGGGGTGCTCGTTTCCTCTTGCTGAAGAGGCCATAGTTCACAAGCGCTGGCAGCCAGCGCTGCTGCTTTTAGGAGGATTAACAAGTCCGGTTTAAGACCTTCTGGCTCTGGTGGTGACCTAGTGATGCTGCGCTCACGCTGACCGTCAGAGTTGCGTCCGTCCCATAGCTGCGTGCTACTTTATCGCTGCCTAAGCCTAGCTCTGCTCGCTTCGTCTGATCCTAGAAGTCATCCTTGTGCCTAGAGGTGCGAGGAAAATTGCAAACTATAAATAAACTTAACTACTCTTGAACCAAACGTAGTTAAAAAAGAAGTATGAAGTACTTGCTGGAGGTCTGCAGAAACAGAAAGCTGGTTTAGCATGACAGTGCTGTCTTGTCAAAGCTTTCCAGTAGTTGCTTCTTTTAGCTTTGTCTTCTGGAAGATCTTCTTTAATGCGACAGCTTATTTTGGTAAATCTTTAAATAATGTAGTAAATTTAATCTGTGATCTTAAAATTAGCAACTTAACTGCATCTCTAAAGTTTTAAACAATTCAGTATCCTGAACTAATCTAAAAGGAGTTTAGCAGCTAGTACAGTATGTTCGCTTCCTGATGGAAGGAATTGGAAAACCGTGGTGTGAGGCAGATGCGTGGAGAAGGCACCACAGGCCACCTTTGCAGCGCAAAGGAACGCGCTGCAAAACAGTTGGAAAAAATGGAATTGTTTGTTAGTGACTAGGTATAATATCTGTTGAGTCAGATGAGGGGAGTAATATTTTTAATCTCTTGCAGATTATCACAGCAAATCCCTGGAACATGATTGCGCTGCTTTGTGGTATCTTTTTGGCTCTGTTTAAGGCAGCAGACTTTGCCAAGCTAAGTGTTAAGTGGATGATCAAAATCCGAAAGAGGCATCTGAAGAGGAGTCGTCAAGTAATGAACCACATAAACTGAGACTCGGGCTGCCTTTTAACTGTTCATAGCAGAAGGGATAGAAAATAACTGGAATAAACTTCCATCAGCAATACAGCAATTAAAGATGCAAAACAGGTATGTTTTCTTCCAGAAAAACGATGGCTGGAGGAACAGCCCAGTGAACTGGCCTTTGAACTTCAGAAAGGAGCTAACAAACAACTCTAGGACAGGTCTAACAAACTCATGCTTTTCTCTTCTGAATTTAACAAGCTTACCTCATGGGGGGGGACCAGGGAGAAACGAGGGAATTCACCAACGTTCAGAAAGTCACCACCGTAGCGGTTAAGTTCTAAAAAAAATGGGCAGTGTCTGAATGTTTCTCAGAACAGGAGAGCACTTAACTTCTGCATGAGCCACGGCCTGCATCTGCTACCCTAACGCAGCTCTGTCCTTGGCTGCCTGTAGTGGGAGGTGAAGTACTCCACAAAACAGTCTGGCTTCCCCTCTCCAAAGTATGCGTTAAAAAATACACTGGAATTCTATTATGTGTCATTTTTTCATTTAAAGTATAGTGACTTTAATATTAAAAAAATACTTCAAATAAGGTATTGTGTACATTCTTTGAAATTGAGGGCCTGTTCTACGGGTAAGAGACAACTGAGCTTTCTTATCTCCTTGCTGTCAAAGAAACACCCAAGTGTTCCTTTACCAAATGATACTACGGCAGCTCTTTAGTGGCTTTTACAGAAATATTTAGAAACAACAATTTGAGCAGGTACTGATGCGTCCTCCTCTGCGTTTTTTTGTTCTTTCTTTGCTAATGAGGTCAGAGAAGGTAAGCCTCAGCTCTGGGCTAAGTAGGAGGTGTGGTTAAATAAAGGATGCGCTCCTTTCTGCAGTATTTAATGTACTTTTTTTTGACTTCAGTCATGCCATCTCAGCTATCAAGATTTGTTGTTTTATAAGGAAATGTTGTTACTAGAGCAGGCCAGCTGATTCTGGCCAAGAAACCTTTCTTTTATATACCTATTTATAGGAGCGATTCTCATAGCAAGTGTTGCGCAATGTTTGAAACAGCCTCTTATAGCTCCAGTGTTGGGTTTTGTTACTCACTCTTGATGCCCATATTTGTCAATTTTTGAACAACTCCTAACAGCTACAACTGCCAGTAATTTGTTCTTTGTACCGCTGCAAGGTAAGCGTTAGATTCCCCAACGTCTGTGTAATCTATTTCCTTCAGGCTGTAGGACAGAAGATATTTTCAGCTATCACAAATTGGGGGGTTTATTCCTCTATGGAAAAGGCGAACTGTGTCTGCGTGACAGTCATCTCCCTCCCGAGCTGGCAAAGCGCAACCCTTGCAGGCCCCCCAGTGTTTAACATCTGGTTTTGGGACTTTAAGCACCACCACGAAAAACAAAGGATTCCCCCCTCCCCACCCCCCAAATTTTGGGCAGCCACTTACCATGGCAGAGTCTACTTTGGTCAGCTGATTATGTAGTCTTTTTATATAAAAACTGACGTGTAGAGAGTAGCAACTAATTGGTTTTGATCAGACAGAGCTCTTGGGAGCGTAAGCCACTTCAGGCAGTGTTACTCCCATTTCCTCTGTGAAACGCAACTACTTAGAGACAAATAACAACAAAAGCCTAATAAACTCAACTCAAAGAGTGTAGTAGAGACTTCCCCCCCCCGGAAACTGCTTGAATAAAGTCAGTAAACCAGCCAGGGGAGAGGTAAAACAAGCCGCGGACCCCTGCCCCAGCTGCTCCGTACAGAACACAGCCTCCCACCCTACTCATAAAAATGGCACCCTGTCAGCCTGCAACTCCAACGCTTTTGCCACAGGTTATTCGGACACGTGTGCAGTTAAAAGGTTGGTTGTAAAAGCCATTCTAACGCTCCTGGTCTTTATAAACACAAAGATGTGATATACAGCACGAAATACAAACATAAAGACTTTATTGAATGCTGCTCAATTCCCCGAAGATCTTTCATTACAAAAGTTTTCTTCCACACAACTGCGATTTAAGAGATTGGAATGGTACTCTGATAAAAGATGTGAAAAATACTTGATCAAGTAAACAGACAAGACTTCTATTGCCAACTTTTCACCTTTAAGAAACAGACCGCATTTTCTGCAAATAAAACAAGGAACTATTTATTGACATCCTTCCCTCCTTACTGAAAAAAACCAAAGTAATCCCAATTTTGGTCTCATTCTTCAGTCTATGAGATGCTAAAGCAACTAACCCAGAAACATCCAAGATGACAGTCTCTAGGAGACCTGCGCTGCTCCGCAGGGAGTCCTTGGGCTGGGGAGGAGCATCATTGATGGGCTCTCTAGGGGAAGCTCCATCCTCAGCTGCAGCAGGAGGAAATCTCTAAGCAGCCCAGGACCCAGAGGCAGCGAGAAGGGGGCAGAGGCACTCGCCAAGGGGAGCGGAGCACCCCAACCCGTTCAAGCTGCCTTTCGCTCCCTACTTTGCCTCATTCTAATGCGAGCATTCGATAAATCTAAACCTGAATCCAGTCAGGAGTTCAAGGACAGCACCGCAGTCGAGTTCCTTTTAGTGCTGTAAGGGGCAGATACTGAATATCTCAAGTTACTGGTAACGTACCTTGGTTTTATTTGAGAAAATACAGCACAGTTAGAAGCCTTTCCTATAATCTTAACCAAAGTATGCAGCGATGTGAAAAGCACATATAAAACAAGGAAAAAAATGTACATAGCAAACTATACTGCCTATGTGCAACACAATCAAAAATTCAAGTCATAATTCTCACCACTCCCGTAATTATTTCACTCATTAAGGATGATAATTCAGTTCTATGAAACATTGGAAGTGACAGTATATCAATAATCAGACAAATTTACAATATGCTGTGGTAATGACATCACTTAACTGCTGTATTTAAATTCAAATCTTTACATTTGCCAGAGAAAAATTGGCCGTTTCTATTATACCGATGAGGTTTCTTCTGCAAACGCTCATGTATTTCAAAAGGGTACAAAAAAGTACGTCTGCCGCGTAGAGGCGGTCACTTCTTTTATTTGGCACTTGTATTGTGTGCATTTAGCACATTGTGGGTGCTGTTCTGCTTTTCTGCCATAGCCTTCTTCAGCTTTAACTCCTCTAGCTTTCTCCACAACTCTTCGCGCTCCAATTCTTTCTTTTTCTCTCTGTAGGAAAGAGCGAAGTACCAATTTCAGATACGTTTTAAGCGCAATATGGAGACACGGTTACTTAACAGCTGATTTACATCTAGTCATTCCTCTTGTAAGCTCTTCTCCAAAGCTATTTTTAGAGGCAATTACAGTTTCCTCTATTAAAAAGGGAGCATACAAATTGGTAACAGTTAGCGGTAGAACTGTAACTTTGCGCCGGCAAACTCGGACAACTGCTGTGGTGCGGTTTTGCACAGACAACTGCAATGCTAAGGAGGTTCTTTATCCCATGCAAACAAATGAAGGGACTAAGCATCTTTGGGGGAAGAGAGCACAACTGTTGGAAGAGGCTTAGCACATGGCCTCAGCTGACCCAGGATAGGTACACTCTGCCTCCCGTCCTCCAACAGTGCTGCTCAGCAGGATGAGAGAGAGGTTTCAGCCGAGCTATGAAGTATTCTCCAGCTCAGCTTTCTGCAGACACCTGCCCCTGCAGCAGCAGAGCCCCATTTCCCCAGCCAGGAGAGCGAGCGCTCCCTGCCCAGGCGGGACAGGGAGCTGGGCCCTTCCCGCCGCCTCCCCGGGGCTGCGGCTCCCACCGCACCGCTGACACACGCCTGCGTGGCTGCTTCGTACGCAGGTGACGGCCTGCAGCAAATACTTGGTGAGCAGTTCCCCTACACAACCCCACAGCCGCAACGGGTAAGTTTTGTCTCTTTTCAGCTGGTACATTCTAGATAGGTATTCACCACAGTGCATTTGGAAGAAAAATCACTACCTTTGCCTTTCAGCTTTATATGAGCTTGTAAGTTCATCAAAAAGCTTGCCATTCATTTCCATCAGGGTTTTCAGCACGTTATACACCAGTGCCACGATAGTTCTAGAACAGAAAGAGCACGCCCATTAGAATCGCTCAACACAAAATTAACTTCAGCAAACAAGTATTCCGTTTCTTTTTTTGGACTTTGAGTTTTTATCTAAGGTACTATTGTGAGGTCAGTGAGCTCCTGAAACAAAATCCTTTACTACGGTTTCCTCTGTGAAATAATAAAATGCATATTTAAACTTTTTTTGAAATGGCTGTTTAGCCTTAAATTCCTGGCTCTTGTAATTGCACAGGATATAATTATTGGTACTGTGGCTGTACTATAATGCCATTCAATTATGTTAATGTTTAATAAACTGAGTTTTAACAACAATTTTGTAATATTTGAGGAAGGAAATACGAGAGTCTAGAAAAATAAACTTCTGGCTAATAGCTTCAAGACTGGGCAAAAGAATGCAGCGGAGGAACCACAGGCACATGGTTTAACATAGCTACTCCAAGCTCGAGCAGAAGCGTTTCTGGGCAGCAGATAGTTTTGCTGCATAATGCGCTGTTAGAGAGCTGAATTGCGAACATCAGGTAATGGTTTCCAATACCTTTGTTTCTTTAAGAAACGAACCAGCTTGAGCAATACTGGCTGCGTCTTACACGGCTGTCCATATTTCCATGTTAGGTATAACTCTTCTTTTTATGAAGGCGTTCAATACATTATCTTAAATATAGCGTTGTTTATCTCCTCTAAACCCACTCTTAATTCCACACAGAAATGCAAAAATAGCAATAACATTAAAGAGATGCCTATCATTAAGCTTATCACTAATCAAAAAAAGTAGGTAAGCTCTCTTCCCCATCTTTCCCCTCCCTAGCAGTTCACCTTCCCACAGCAGTATTGACTAAGGCGGTAGAGCAGGGGTGCCGTGCAGTCTTGTGACCCTGAGAAACGAGGGAAAGAAAAAAGGCTAAGGCAGTAGCCAAGGGGCCAGGTTCGCCTTTGCAGCACACTGTCTACTGTGGCACTAGAATCTCCCAGCTGTTCGTCAGAGGCCCTGCGCTCATTCAAAGCTTATTTGGGGTTTTGGTTTTCTGAGAGGAAAAGCTTGATTTTGAGCGAGTAGTTAAGTCCTTATCGGACAGCTAGAAGGATATAAGCACCTTACTCTGCCCTCCAAAACAGAATAAAACCAAAAGGTTGGGCTTTCTTCCTCAAACTTCCTGGTCCTCAAGGTACACAGTTACCCTGCGTCTTTCACTTCCTTCTGTCTGCAGGTAGGGAAGGAGGGACAGCCTTCAAATTTGCGGAGGTCCCAAGTACTACCAGTGCTCCAGGAACTAGTTCTCCAGAATTTATATCCAGTCTCAGCTGGTACGTTTGTAACTAGGCACACCATCTGGATAACTTCAGAATAATTTCAGAGCTTCTAAGGGCTTTAAACAGGGCATCTGACTGAACTTCAAGTTGTGGGAAGCTCCTGCCTCCCCTGGCTTTTGCCTGCACGGGCTTTACATTCTACGAAAGGACTTGCAACTCAAGTAAAGGATGCTGGACACAAGCAAACTTTGCTTTTTAGTATTCCAGTGTCATTACTGCCTCTTTCAAACGTGATCTAAAAATACTAACATTTAACCTGTGGCATTAAATCTAAAATGAAGTAGTCACTCATTTCTCATTCCTACCATACTTTATAGAGGTAGGCAACTGCTCTTCTCCGACAGTATCTTTCTCTTTCCTATCTCACTGCGCAGCAATAAAACTGCTTACGAAGACACCGACAGAATTTTCTTCGTCTAGAGCAGTAAAGGACAGCAAAGCATAAATACAGCAGAACCATCCCTTGGCAATGGTTTTGGTCCAAGTAGCGTTAATTTACATTTTTAACTAATGCATAAGATCAAATGTGATTACAGTATCAAGACCCTCATCCAATTTCCTCATAGCGATGCAGAACAGTGAAGGTATGATACAGCTGAAAATGACGTCCATTTTAGCACCCCTAATCTCACTGATTTCATTGGATTTAGGTAGAAATGAAATCACATTTACAAGCTTATGATCCAAACCTGAAACAGTGGACAATTTATTTATGGTACTATAGATAAAGTTAAACATTACGTACTGATTCCAGTGTTCTTTGGAGATCTTGTATAAACTGCCAAACATAATTGGTAAAATTTTATCAATGTTCTCCTCAATCAGGCTAAGAATATATTCATTATTCCAGAAGTACAAAGCTCTTTCTGCAACCTGAAACACAGAGTTCAGGGGGTCAACAGACACAAAATAAATTACTACAAGTTTTTTTTTTTTATATATTTTTAATATACTTTTTTTTTTACCTGAAAATGTGAACTTGACACACTCTTGGATATTTGCTTAAATAAAGGCTCTTCTATTTTTTTGAATTGTGTCGGTTCTATTACATCTAAGATTTCTTCAATTTCACCTAAAAACATTACCTGTTTGTATAAAAGAAATATATCAAAAAGTATGAGAATGTTTTATGTCACCACTGTAAACAGAAACAAACAAAATACAGCTCGTGCATTAGTCATGAACCCTGCAAAGAACACTGTAGGTAATTACAACGCAGTAGGCATCCACAGGGTTTTTTGCAGCCTGAAAGACGTCAATCATCGGTTTCAGCTACCAGGTTACAGCTCTCACCTTGGATTTCATCGTCTTCTGTGTAATTGCTCTAAACGCTTTGCAGAACTGCTTCTGCAGAATATGTTTTTTTTTTTAAAGTTAAAAAAACAGCTAGAACATTTTATTTCTTCAGGAATGGCTGCAGAGGTTACCATTATCTGAGATCTCCAAAGTAGCTTTTGAAGTGATAAATAGTTAATTCACGTTTTAAATTACAACCAGCAGAACATTAGGTAGGTGGCACAGAAAAATTGAACACCGCTCACACAAACAGAGACAATCTTAAGGGACCCCACTTTTAAGGAGCTGTCGGGAGGTGGGATCTGGTGGCATATAACAAACTCCTGATTTTTAAGCTCATTTTAACCACATAGAAGAAACCAGGAAAAAAAAAAAAAAAGAATTTCCCAAGATCATTTAAAGTTATTTTTATACTACGGAAGAAGAATGTATGTATGCTTTACCAGACACTTACTCGGTATCTCAAATGCTAAGCCTGTGTCACCTCGCAGATGACTCCCTCCAACCTGGTCCGTATCTACTAAAATACTTCTCACCTTGGAAAATTGTTTCTCTATACAATATCTTAATTAGAATGCAACTTTTAATATCGTTTTAGCACAGTAACACCATAGTAAGAACAGACACACAAAACAATTGCATTGAGTTGCATGACGAGATGAGCACCTCAAGAAGCTTCTAGAACTGCAAGTTCTCTGCAAGATCTCTTGAAAAGCGCAGCAGAGGTGAGGCGTATGAACCTGCCACGCTACATGTTACATCACAGCGGACGCCAGAAACAAGAGACAAAACCAACCTCTTTCTGACTGCAAGTTTTTGGCCAAAATTTGAGCAGTCCTCTGATTACCTATATTAAAAATACAAACAAGTTAAAGCAGAACAAGTATCTGTTACATATTTGATAAGATTTAAAAAAAAAAAAAAACCACAAAAAACAAAACCTACTCGTTTGCTTTTCCTTATCCAGAGGTTCAAGGAAAACTGAATACAGCTAAATGTAGTTCCACTGAAAATAAATACTGCGCTCATTTAAATATTTATCTTGCTTAGGTTATCAGAATAATTTAGACCCTTATCACTTCACAAGTCTTTGATTATCTATTCACACTCCGCTCCCATCCCAGTACATACATTAATTGATAGGATTCTGATAACATCAAAGCATCACAAAATGAAGTGAACTCCCCTGTAGCTAGATTTCCCAGAATATTTTTTGTCTTCTCCTCATCCATACTTTGGGGAGCACCTGTCTTGGCATCGAGGTTTGAAGCCCAAGAGCAAGCGGTATATGCTGACTGCACAAACAGGGCAGTCGTGGCCTCCACCGCTTCCTTTTTTTCTTCTGAATTGGAAATGTTAAAGACTGGAAACTAAAAAAAGATGTGAACTTACAGAGAAAATATATTCCAGTACCTACATTGGTAACAAATCTTACACAAGACTGGAAAAGGACTTCAGCAAAACTTAATTAGGAAGTGCAGCGCCCAAGAGGAAGGGGGGCAGGGGGAACCACACAACAAACAAAGGCTGGAGGCCTGTTTCCTAGAAACAAACATTTGACATGGCATCTAAATTACAAAATTAATGCTGGCTAAAAAAAAAAAAAAACAACCCTGTAATTGTATGTTTTGGAAGCAGAAACATTCCCAGAGCCTTATAAACTTTCATTCTGAGGAAAGGACCTCTATTTTTATGATACAAGAGCACCTAATTTATCATATCCAACTGTAAAACTTACTCAACTATTTGAATACCTTCCATATTTGATTTTTGCCATGTTGATTTTTTTTTCCAGCTTCCCAGCTAGCTGTTTTATTCACGACTATGTGTACTATCAAAAGTGACTTTCCAGAGAAAAAGTTAATATGATTTTAAGTGCCCACAAGTCTTTATCCTAGGATACATACATATCCTGCTGCTACAAAACTGAATGTCACTTCAAATGACACTGAGCAAATGCAGAAACCTCAGGCAGCTGCTCAAGTACTGTGCTCAAATCCACAAAAAGAAAGCAAGTTACAAGGAAAGAACAGATTCCTTACAGAGCCTTGACCATACCCTTCTACCTGGCTGGCTGAACGCTACGGACGACAAATACCAACGCCATCATCCGACACCGGATGAAGGAGCAGGAGGCCTGGAGCAGCCCACACGGGTGACAACTCTGCCACCCGTCCCACAGAGGCAGAGCTCCCTCCCCGACCGGCGGCACGGACCTGGCCTCCTTGGACAGGGCAGAAGAGCTGGGGCAGACGGCATGGCCAGGGGAGGAGAAATTTTGAGCTCCCCCATTTCACGGCAATTACCTGACCTGGCAGTCCTTCGCTCACCCGCTTCTCCTCCACCCTCCAGGAGTCAGACTTGCATGAATTAATTACACTTGTTTCCCTAGATTCACAATTTAAAGTAGTCTATGTAAATACACTTTAAATCTAGGGCCATTTTCTGTTAATTAGCTCGTAACTGAATGACTCCGTTCTATACTATTGAGATTTTGTATTTTTCAAGAACAAACGCGAACATTTACAAGTGTAATAGCTCATTCTGCCAACACTTTCCCTTCCCCCAGAACAATGCAAGTAAGCCAAAAAATTTCAGACAAGCGCATTTGCCAAAGAAAAGCTGTGAGAACCTACCATACGCCCTAATTGGAGCATAAATTTATTTAAAATTGAGTTAGCTGGAAGAGTCCAGTTTCCAGCACTTGTTATTGTAAGTGTGTTGAATGTACTTCGCTACACAGACTCATATTCTCAACTTGATAAAGAAAGAACATGTTCCGAGTAGAAGAGTGCAGACCTCAACAAAATACCTATTCCTTGCTCCTCAGAGAGAGTATCGGTTTCCAGCTTGACTACGCTTTCATATTAAAAAGCTGATACATGCACATTTATGGTCAAAGATTTTATTCAAAGAAATATTCAACATGAATGCAGAGCTGAAATCCTGCTGCTCTTACTACAAAAAAAAACCCTTAAGATTAATAATTCTCCCTGAGCTACAAAATTCCCATGAAGTGACTTACAACAGTAGGCACCTGCTGGAAAACTTAAATCCTATCTCAAGGACTGTGTGTTTAGCCTGATTTCTTCCATGTAAAGGCCACTGCGCTTAGCAGGGTTAGGTAACAAACTCTTCTTGTCAGCTTCGCAAACATCAGGACTGACCTAAGGCAGACTACCATAGTTACGAGAGCTTGGATTGAATGTCCTCGAAATTGACCCCGAGTGACAATTCCTGCCAGAAAAATAACAGTAAGGTACTCATGAAGACAGCCCTCTGATGGGATTCTTAAAATATTACTTGACCTAAAGCCAAAATAAATTCCAAATGCTACCTCATCAGTTGCCCCAAATTTTAACATGTACTTTTCAAGCATTTCAGAAAGTTACTTAAAGCTTCACTTCTTATCATCTTATTGACTTGTATTCCTTGATAAAGCCAATTTTACCATACATTCAGAGTAATGACCAAAGCCAAGCACAGGCAGTGACACTGCAGTGAGTTCTTGTACCTTCCCCATTCTGAACTCGACTGATGAAGAGGCAACCAGGATTGTATATACTGTGGTCTAGATGAAGTCTCAGAATTGCGCTATGGCACTCCTACCTCAAAAAGCCTTACTGTCTCGCTTCCAAGTTTGGGCTTGGATCCTGCATCGCAGTCCTGTAAACTCGTATCAGGAAGTTCTGACTTTGTCACTTCATTCAATCTTGCAGGTTTTTATGTAATACTACACATTTTCTGCTCGCGTGTTAACTTTAACTGTCAAAATGCCGGGACTGTTTTATCACTTGGCTTAAGGAATAAGGCTTATGCAATTCCTTTCTCTTCACCCTATCCAACAAAATAAGCTTATTGACCAGTGTGGCTGGCAACACTGCAGTACAGGGGGAAAGAAGATGCTTCAAGCAGACAAGGCAAATTTAGAGACAGTCAGGTCTACCACCTTCCACCACCTACAGAATAACCTGTCTTCTGATGAGGAACATCAATACCTAAGTGGCTGTACAGAAAACAAGCTTCCACTGGAAGACTGGTGAAGATCTATGTTGTTTCTACAAAGCTATTTATCTTTTTTCTTTATAGAAAAGTTTAGATTTTGCATAAGCTCTTCATTTTTCTGTCACACAAAGGGATAAAGTATTTAAATATCAACATACCCGTAATGGAAAGATTTCTGATTGTCCAACTAAAACCAGTTTCTGTTCTAGCTGGTCTGACATCAGTCTGTGTCCCCATGAGCCGCTGCACTGCCCCGAGCCTGCATTCTTCTTTATGGGCATTGCCAAAGCCCTTGCGCGAAGTGCTGCAAACCCCTTTTTAGCTGAGCTGTCAATACGTATCATGGGAGATTCAGTCTGGCAAAAGCCACTGATGCCTGAAGCACCTGTATTATAACTGCCAAGAGCCACCCCAGTAACTGAAGAGACAGAACAGAAGCATCCCATTTGGAATTTCAGAGTTCCTTCTGTCTAAACAGTGTGTTGTTATTCTTTCCAACTTTTATTTTGGGATTGTTTATTCCCTAAAATATTTCAGCTTTTTGCAGTGGCTAGGCACAAGCCATCAGCACCAAAAATATTGACATTTTAGTTCTTACCAGGAGGGAATACAGTTGTTACATGCTTTCTCATATGAGGTAATTTGCATGATATCAGTGGTTCAAACTTTTATTTAAATTTGTGCTCTATCTTGGTCACAGGCTAAGAGATAACTGCCCTTTCAAACCCAGAATTTTCTTAACTCTTCTAGATGTAAATTTTTTTCCCCAAAGAAACCCCACGCCTATGGATCATTAATCAAGACCGCACAGATAGCACTGCTATACAATTCTAACAAGTTACACTGAAATATTTAGTTGAAATTAAAAATAGAAAAACATTCAACTGAAAAACACTTACAGGCTCTGTTAAAGTTGTATCTTTTTCCAGGAACTGTACGACACAATAGGCGAGCTAGAATGCAAGTCATATGATTATTTAGTTTAAACAGACACTGTTTAGACATTGCAGCATAACTAAATAGCACAACTTATAACGGAAGCACTTCAGATCGGGGGGGACAGGACCCAACCCAAAACACCCCCTACACAGCCTTTTTAAATTCTTCCAAACTAAACAAGACAGCAGTTAAAGCACCAACACATACAGGCCTGCTCTATCTTACAAAGACTTCCTGCATACCAAAAATCTTCCGTTTTTTTCATCCTAGAAGAAAATTACTTTTAAGCTTGACAGATATTTCCCTAAATCAGATCCAGTATCCAGACAGATTTTTCTCAGCATCAATTCCTGTATTAGCGTTACAAAGCTATCATTTTCAAACATCTGTATTGGGGTAAAAGAGGTGATACTTTCAATCAAAAAAAGAAGTTTTAAAACAGGTTTGACTGAGCACACATTGCTCAAGTACTGGACACCTACAGCACACAACATCCAGTGATAAGATGACAGGTGAAAGATTTTTAACATATTACACTGCCACAAGAGATCAGGCAGCACCTGTCCAGCTGAGTATCCTGTCTCCAGCAACGGCCAACAACGCACGCCTGTGGAAAAGCAAATGAAGCGGGGGAAGCATAACGTGATTAAGTCACCAGTGTGCTTTCCCAGCCCCTAGTGATTTCTGTCCAGGGGTCTTCTCAGGCCAAGCGTGATATTATACATTATATAATTACTTATTGTTTAGTTACTTAGCACATAGGTAAGTGACTAACCAAACGCACCTCTGCCCAGTACAGAAACCATACAATAATCCTATTACTAAAGGAGTTACAATCCTCGATTCCATTAAGACTAATTTTAAGAAGTCATCTCACAGTATAATGCAAAGACAAAAATTATTTAGATGCGTTACACGTACATTTCAATACTTAGGATGCTTGAATTCAAGCATTACCTTTCCTTTTTTTTTTAATCTGTTATCCCAAAGCAGATAATTACAATGCTGTAATTACAGCAGGTCTAATTTATTTCTTTTACCCTTAGGCTAAGGATGTATATGTGTAGATTCAAAAAATAATAAATGTCACACATTAATCTCATAAAATCCCATTACATATATTGTACAGTAGTGCTTTATTGTTCAAAGACACAAAGACTCAAACTTAATTCAGCTTTAAGGCTTTAACTTTTATGAGTAGGCTAAACTTGTACTGTAGCAACAAAGCAACCAGGCCGCTCCTGATTGCAAATCAGATTTAATGCTGGTTTACACCTTCAGGATAGTACAAAACCAGAAACACACAGTGCTGAAACTGCACGTAGCAGTAGCGGTTTAGGCAGGGATAGATGAGTAGCCTGGTCAGCAAACCAAATGCTACTTTCAGGTACACAGTACAGCTGAATTAGTAGGACCTTTTCAGGCACTGATGAACTGGATTAAATATATCGTAGAAAAAAAGGGAAGCTCGCTGTACTGATCTATCACTGAGAATACCTTTGGCAAGTGACTGGTCCCTTTCGTATCACTGACTCATTCCATAGAGCAGCCTATTGCATAGCAATAAGCCACAAGGACAAGCGATCTAATTAAATTAAAACTTTATATGAAAATTGGGAATTAACTGAGCTCATGACTTGATCCTGTTTGTAGGCTATATAGTCATAATGATTTCACTTGAATTAGAAACTCATTTCCTTGTATCTTTAGTCTATAAGGAGCTGTATTAGTGAGCTAAATTAACAACACAAATTTTTAATTAGCCACGGCAGAATTACTTGCAAGTTTGCATCAAATGTGTTCAATACTCAAGTGCCATATGTCTGAAAAGGATATACATTATTCCTCAAATAAAATGCTGAACGTCTGTGCAAAGTGTAAGAATGGAAGTCAAATGAAGAACTAAAGCATTCTGACAGCATGTCATGGATCTCCATAATTTCTAGCTGATCCAGAGAGCTACTATGCATTGCTGCCATTTATATCCAACATTCTCCTCCCCTCCCCGTCACTGAAATGGTTTTAGAAATAAAAAAGCACTTCTGAAACACATACCTGGCCATACTCAAGGTTCCTTTATACACAGCAGTTAGGTTACATGAAGGAAGTGATAATAGAACAAGGTCCTGGGATTAAATGAAGCTTAAAGTGTGACAAAACTAGCAAGCAAAAAAGGTTCCCATTTCAGTTGGCACGACTGACTCGCTGTTATATTCTTTCACTTTTAATATATGCTAAATATGATCTCAAAATTAACATTTAGACAAAAAGATCTGTAAAACCTTTAAAAAAAAAACAGTGACTGAATTTGCAAGTATTTTAGAATATTGATATTGTAACACAATTCTGCTTTAAATTTCATTAGTTTCAAATGCAAATACAAAAAACCCCACCACTCTTAAAAATAAGCAAACGCTTACCTGTGCATGAAACAAAGCTAATCCCTTTGCAGTATGCATGGGAATCAGAACTTTCATAAGGAACTGTTTGTGTTCTGCTTTCAGTGGCAGTGCAAAACCATTGATAATACTGAAAACATGAATAAGCAGGATTTATTTTTATTAAAAAAATATTTTTTTCCTAGCAAGTCAAGAATTTCTGTAAATTCAAGAGACACTCCATTTCTGATTCAATTTCTAAACCTGATTATTTTGAAGCCATAAAATAGCTCTACATATGGACAATCTTTAAAGTGTTGGTATCAGGCGAGTTTAGACTCTTGGTAGGAATACCAGTAGAAGTCAAATAATACTCATTAGATGAGCTACAGTATTTTTATTGTGATCTCCATTAAGTAAAATCATCTACAGTAAGTCTTGCTGTCTAACTGTGAAGCTTAGACAGATGCATCAGGAAGCTGATCCATTTCACCCACAATCACTAGCAACTTGCAGAGAAAAAAAATAGATGGCATACAATTTTGAACTATTTTAACAGTGCAGTTGGAACATTTGTTTTGAGATTGTTGAACAACCTTTCCCTCCAAAAACAAAGTTAAAAAGTTGTCTCATTGATTCAGTAATCTTATTTTTAAGAGTTGATGAGTCATGGAACAGACAGAAGTCCTTCAGGAAGAGGTTGGGGTTCCCCTCCCCCCCCCCCCCCCCTTTTAGATAAATCCGAGAAAATAATGGTATCCCTTTCACTTGATTTTCATGAAAATTTGTTCCGCAAGAGTTTCACAATTTTTGTATTTTCAGTTAGACCAGCAATATTTATAACATTTTCTACTGTGAAATATATATGACAGTTTTTGGAAAAAACAGTAAAATGCTACCACAAAAAACTTCAAAGTTAAAAATTAAATTAGTGAAATAATGTCAAAAAACGTAACTAAAAAACCCTAGCACTTACAAGGCTTTCCTGAATAGAATTTTAAGAAAACCAGCCTGCTGAAGATTAAAGCATTTCATTCAGCGTGAGGGCAAAAGTTAACATTCATTTTCTGAATCAAAGAACAAGTCATCTATCAGATATAAGATAAGCAAGAGTATTCCTGACAAGGACCCTTGAGAAATATTTTGCCAGTCATCTTTAAAACTTGCACCGAAAAAGAATGATTTATACTCTATATCCTAATTTGATATTCACATGGTAACCCAGACAGTATTAGATTATATGAGTGACTGCACTTCATCACTCGTTACTGTAATAATTCTTTCCCTTCCTCCATTCTCAAAGCAAGAAAGCTGAAGCAACACCCACAATAACATTTTATATTTTTTCTGTGTCAGATCAAACTTACCTTCCTAATATCTCAAGAAGTTCAGCAACACCATTGAAGTGCTCTGTTTCATATATAAACCTGTCATGAGAAAAGACAGCCATCAAAAACTGAAACAGAGGATCAGAGATTCCAAAGAAATAAACCTTTAATAAGCTTCAAATATCTGAAAACCAGATCACAGACCAAAACCAGGTCTTTTATTTCAAGAATAAATCACTGCAGACCCAGACCATGAAGGCAAGGTAAAATATTCCTCAACTTACACACAGGCGCACACACACAGAGCATACCTGAGGAAAATGTTGTTAATCTGTTTCCTGATGAATGCTCTTAAACCGAGGAATTTTCCATAAATTCGATGAAGAACTGTCTTTAGGAAATCACGTTCTCGTGGGTCTTCACTATCAAAGAGCTCCAACAACTTTAAAAATTAAATTGAAATGCATTACTTTTGAAAGACTTAAATTTTATGTTACTAAGCAATTTGAGTTTTATCTTTAATTTAGAAGTTTACACTAGAAAAACTGGAATCAGTTTAACCAAAAATTTTGTTTGGATGTCAATATTATATTTTCCAAATTAGATTTTTAATAAAGCTGCTTTTTTTTTTTTTTTAAAATAAACCCATCAGCTTCATTTCCCTAAAAAGTCTGTACACAGACAAAGTCATTCCAACAACTATTACACTATCAAAATAAAAATGAAATTGTAAGAATGAGATTATCAAACCTTAGGTAAGTGGTTTACATTTGGTCTTTAAGAAATCAGAATGAATCATGTCTGTGCCAGATATTTACAATTTTTAAATTAAAATCCTGTACTGCTCATCTCAAAAAGCTACTTGTGTCTTGAAGGTTAAAGCAAAAGCATTCCTATACAAGAAATTTCACAATTCACGATTTAATATGGAGGAGACCATAAAATGAGCATAGGATATGTGATTATTAACTGATTCTCTGCTAATACAGACTAAATGCCACGATAAGCTAGCAAGATTTTCCACGCTTTTTTTTCTTGAGGAAACTTTTCCAAGGATGCAGAAAAGACCATACTCACTTGAAGACATCAAAAGATATTCCAATCCCATTACACACCATTATTTCAGTTATTTTTTCCTGTTTGTCCAAGTAAGAGCATATTCAAAGCGCTAACTGCGCTAAACAAGTTAGTAACTTAGCTCAAGCAGTCACTACAGTCTCCTGCTCGGTCCAGGTCTGTGAGCTTAGGTCTACACCAAGCAGCATAAGAGACTGGAAACGGCTGTTCAGGAACTTTGCGCAGGCTCATTTCTTTTTTATATTTAGAAGGAATTTCTCAGGGTCACTACTCCACTTTTTTCCCCATATATAGCTAGCTGTTCATTGCTTTGTCTTTCTTGTACTCTAGAGAAAGATCAAGTAAAATGTCAGGAATTGAAACTCTGCAACACGGCTCTTAAGAACCACGGGTCAATTAGTAAATTGGATACCCACAACCAATAGTTCAGCAGCTGCTTCAGGCCTAAATTTTGTGGGAAAGTCAAATAACAGAGAAGAAGGAAACACCTGTAAACAAGAACAGTAAAGCCAAACAAGTGGAAGTTAAATGCAGTCACTGAAGGTGGGGAGGAAAAGCGTCCATCTATGTTTTTACTTTTCATCGCTGTACTGTGATGGCCTGCCAGAACTCACTCTTCAGATACTGAGCTCTTCCTTGACAAACAAGTATTTTGACATAGTAAAAAAAAAAAAAAAAGAAAAAAAGAAAATCTCCACTGAATTAACCTTGGACAAAAATTGTCATGGTATTCTACAGCCTAATTCCTTGAGAAGTTCTATTTAATATGAGATTTCACTTCACTTTCTTTCTCCTAGTTACTTTGCATGGTGAAGCATGATTTTCCTATGTACATTTTTACTTGATTTTCCTTCTGTGGTTAACACACAATAGTAAAGAGAATAACATTATCCAGTCACAAGTTAGCAGATGTTGGAACACATTTAATGTACAGTAAGTACATGAACTTTTTACAGGAAAAAAGTTTGCTTTAAGTTTTCCCATGATAAATCTATGAAAAAACAAACAAAAGCACTAAAAGTTTAATTAGCACATTGTTGATTTGACTGGAAATAAGTTACAAATCATTAAAAACACAACTGGTATTTACAAGTTACAAATATCTTACATTGCAAACCACTGAGGATGATATCTGAAAACAAAGTGTTTCTGAAGTTACTAATTACATATAGCCTGTGTGGTATGATGTGCTGTTTATTTAGTGTTTGGCAGAAACCACTGTTGGAATAACTACAATTTAATCCTGTGTCAACATGAAAGCTTTAATATTCTCCTTAGCCGTACAGTCATCTGATAAGCTAAGCTCGAGAGGTGATCTTTAAATCTGTGGGTGGGAAAACTCCCTACTTACCTGCTGTACAAATTTCTGGTCAATATATCGCTTCGCAATGCTAGGCTGAAAATCTGGGCTCTCCAAAAACCTCAGGAAAAATTCATACACCAACTAGAAACATTGAAATGAAAATTTTGAAGTTAGTAAGTACACCATAACACAGATCTCAGCCCCGCCACCATCACAAAGTCAGTGGGACTATTAACATGCTTAAAAAGAACAAAAGGAAACCAAAGCCTAACACATCACTGCTTAATCACAGCCTCTACCGGAATTTACTGGAAGAATTACAGTAACTATCAAGAACACTTTAATTCCCAGAAGAGTCAAAGCTTAATAAATAAATAATCTACTGAAATTATCACTATTAGACAAAAAACGAGTTCTAAGTATTACATATATTAACATTTCCTACTATATTAAGAATTTATTAATTACCAACACTTATCAACACTGAGGGTAAAATTCAGTCTCTAACATCACATAATTCCTTAAACAGATGAAGAAAAATCTGCTAAGTGTCCCTGAAATTAAGTTTCAGCTGCTAACTCCAAAAATGAAAAGTCATATTAAAAAGCTGAATGAATACACAGAAGCTTATGAGTTTGGCTTAACATTAGGTTTCTATATCCTGGACACTCAATTCAAACAACAGGACCCTCTCCAGATTTATCTTCAACATCCTTTACATTTTGTAGCGTATTATTTCTATTGAGTTCAAGTCCCCATTCGCTATGATCCCACAATGCCCCCAGATGGAAAAAACAGATGGGAGATAGAGCTAGCGAGGGCCTGCGGAAGCAGAGAAAGGCATGAAGAAGTCACAAGTCCCATATTTTGGGGCTCATCAGAAGTCCAAGACACAAAATACTGTACTTCCATAACAATGGCAGATTTATAAAATACACATAAGGCATCTCTTAACTAAGACAGAATTGAGAGGAAAGATGTCTTACATTAGATATGTTCAGGGTTGCTTATGTTCTCAATGCCTATTGCTTAACTCCATGTTAGTTAAACAACTGATTAGTAATAATACTAAAATGCAATTTAGATACATAAATACATCACTGAAAGACATCACTGACTGGACTTCTAAATAAAACCTGCACAGAGTTGCGGTCATACTCACAAGCATCTCTTTCAACTATTACCACTGAGTACTTATTAAACTGAGAGCCAACACCCGAGTAATTCATAATTTTAATTATGAAGTTCACTTGAGAGAAGTGCTTGACAATAAGTAGTATTTATCTAGAACATTTGAGATGACAATTACTTATGCATAGCCTCAAGGAGGGTATGCTGTATCTGTAAAGCAGAAGCTCAGAAACACAAGTTACCCTTCACTCTTTCTTCCTCTCTGACAGACTGTAACAAGAGCTTTTCATATCAGCAGTTTAAATGCATGCAAATTTAATGTCACAGAACTGTATTAAAACCCAAGCTTCCCTGTACAGCCTTAATTTGTCTTCTTGTGCATAAACACAATCGCACACAACCGCACAACAGACAACACAGGACAGAATTTTTAAAAGCTTGGTAACAGACAATCTAATAATATAATTTTAAATATTACCATACTCCATCCTCTGTCTTAGAGAGAGGTCAACCATGGTTGTTTATTAACTTCATCAATGACATAGCGGGATCAAGTGCACCCTCAGCAAGTTTGCAGATGACACCAAGCTGACTGGCGTGGTTGACACGCCTGAGCGACAAGATGCCACCCAGAGGGACCTTGATAAGCTCAAGAAGTGGGCCCATGGGAACCTCATGAGGTTCAACAAGGACAAGTGCAAGGTCCTGTACCTGGGTCAGGGCAACCCCCAGTATCAAGACAGGCTGGGGGATGAAAGGACTGAGAGCAGCCCTGCAGAGAAGGACTTGGTGGATGAAAAGCTGGACACAAGTCGGCAATGTGCACTCACAGCCCAGAAGGCCAACCGTGTCTTTGGCTGCATCAAAAGAAGCGTGACCAGCAGGTTGAGGGAGGTGATTTTGCCCCTCTACTCTGCTCTGGTGAGACCCCACCTGCAGTACTGCATCCAGCTCTGGGTTCCTCAGCACAGGAAAGACATGGATCTGTTGGAGCAGGTCCAGAGGAGGGCCACAAAAATGATCAGAAGGATGGAACACCTCTCCTATGAGGACAGGCTGAGGAAGTTGGGGTTGCTCAGCCTGGAGAAGAGAAGGCTCCGGGAAGACTTTATTGCAGCCTTTCAATACTTAAGGAGTGCTTGTAAGAAAGATGGGGACAGACTTTTTAGTAGGGCCTGTTGCAACAAGACAAGGGGTAATGGTTTTAAACTAAAAGAAGGTAGATTTAGACTAGATACAAGGAAGAAATTTTTTTATGATGAGGGTGGTGAAACACTGGCACAGGTTGCCCAGAGAGGTGGTAGATGCCCCATCCCTGGAAATATTCAACGCCAGGTTGGACGGGGCTCTGGGCAACCTGCTCTAGTTGAAGATGTCCCTGCTCATTGCAGGGGGGGTTGGACTAGATGACCTTTAAAGGTCCCTTCCAACCCAAACCATTCTATGATTATACTGATCTTTTTCAAGCTAGAAACTACATAAATTCATTAGTGATTTATACTGAAATGGGAAAAATATGTCTGGAGGGAGGTTGTTAGCACAGCTTCACAGGGATTTATTTTGGAATCAAATTTCATTAAACATTTCTGTAATAAATTCCTATATTAAATATTTCTGTCAGTGACCACAACGAAGAACAGTCATGTGTAATAACTGCTTAGACTATGACACAATATTAGAAGCCAGGAAAAGAAAAAAGGAAAAAAAAAAAAAGACTGTCAGGTTATCAATAAAAAAAGGACAAGCTGACCCTGAAGGCCTGGAGTAATAAATACAGGATGAAATTCAAGGATTGCCAAGTCACAGTTACAGATCCAAGAAAAAGCCCTGCTAAGCATTTGCAAGCCTTTAAGCTGAGAAAGGGTTAACCATAGGATGACTAAGATCCATCTACACAATGAAGCCATGGAAGTGACCGATGAAATCCTGGGATATTCCAGGAAGATATTGACAGTACAGATAGAGATGCACAGTCCTACACGGGCTTGAGGAAATCTATTCAAACCTGAAAGGATACAGAGAAGGAGCCACTAGAACTGTCATGGGATAGAGCATCTTTTACAAGTGAAGACTAAATTGCCATGTTTTGTTTTCCCTAATGGACAGGGGGAGGAAGGACAATTATGGCTTCTTTCCATAAATAGATCTGGGGACTGCAATAAACATCAAGCAGAAGAACTAAGCTAAAGCATAATGCTGTAGCATCTTGGTACAAGCTGTCCAAGATTAAGTTTAGGGTATCAGTTAGGATCAAAACCAAGGTACCTCTCATCTGTAAAACAGAACAAGTCAACATTAATGCAAGATTCTCAACACATGATGACAAATTAATCAGTTACATGTCTCATCTCTAATATAGGGAGAGTATGCATTAGTAACCATTTGAATGCTTCCTATAAAACACATGCAATTCCAGAACCACAATTGTTGATATTGTTCTTAAAGAGCTTTCAGAAAAACAAAGTTTAGTGCTCAAAAATCCAGTTTCTGGGCTGTATCACAGGGAAGTTTTGTGCACTGAGGGAGTATTTATGCAGTTCTGACGCTTACAGAATTGTCTAGCTTCCTGATAATTAGTACCACTGCTCCTAGAACACGTACAGCTAGTAAAAGGTATCAAATAACTTTGGAAATCCTTGAGAGCCCTGGGAAATCCATAAAGCTTTATCTGAGGCATTTCAGGAAGCAAGCTGCAATGGCCATTTCTGGATAGTCAGCCTCTCCCTTTCCCTGTATGCTAATGTCTGCAAACTTAGAAGCATAACAAAAATGACTATCCACTAGGGAGACAAGAATGGATTCCAGCCACAACAGATACTGGCTGCTCCTACCTTAAAAAAAAAAAAAAAAAAAAAAAGGACAGAAGACCTAAAATGGTAAGAAAATAAATTATCAAAAATTCAATTCAGTCAAGGTCTCTGGACTTACATCTAAAATCTGTATCATGGTTCACTAAACAAGCTCGTACTCATTAAGCCATGCAAAAAGGAATGCTCCACAAAACTAAATTCTTTTAAAAGATTATTTAACCTGCAACTAGGGCAACAACCCACTATGTAGGTTAATGAACTGGGTGTTTAAAACAAAATTCATTTTACAGGTGGGGAACCCAACATACCCTAAGGATACGTGCTTTGCATGGAGAACCTGTGGTAGAACAGCAAAGGAATACAATTTTTCTGTGCTTTCATCCTGTGATGCCTTCCGCCCTAGGAAGTCACTACCTACCAACACTTCTTCTAAGGGAAAAAAAAGTGAGGGAGGGGAAAAAGTTTAAATGTTTGATTTATTTGAAGAACAAAACGAAAGAAACAACCAAATATATCACACTCCAACAAGTGCATAGCTTTTTTGCAACTTCTGCTTCTAATCACTTAACACAGATATTGATTTGTTAGCTTTCATATGCAAGGAATCCACACTGCAATTGCAGGATAGACTGTGTAATTCAATTCACAGGAAACGGAGCCATTAAATCTGAATGTTGGCCCAATATAGGTATGCTCAACTTTCTTGAGCTTAACTGAAGCACTATCATTGGAAATACAGGGGAGAACTATTGTATTTAGTCATTTTGGTTCTCAAAATTGGGTCAAAAGTGCTATGAAATATAAAACTCTTACTACTTCAGTGATTCAATCTTCTTTCTTGCAGAGACCACTACAATATTACTGCTTAAGCTACCAGTTTCACCAACTCTGCAACTCCCCAAGCTTCAAAATACACAGTGGCTTTAATGCCAACCTGTTCAACCTAGTTTGGCTGTTACAAACCATCTTGAGTATCTCTTTAAAGCAATGTCTTTCAAGCGGCACTCATTTTACTGAAGGTCTTGAGTCTTTTGTTGTGACTACACACACTGGTAACTTACTAAGCCATTAGCTATCATAGAGAGATGCCAACAGATTCAGCTAGAGAGGAGTAGAGATTCATATTTTTTTCTTTTCCCTCCCAGAAAACTGGCTACCTGACTGTCAGATCAGGATAGAATTCTGAATTTGTTTGTAACTGAGCAACCACAAATCACAGCCAGCAAAACATCCACCCCCCACCCAAGCAATTATTTAGACTATACCAAAAGTAATAATGGGTTTTGATGGCGGGGAGAATGGGTGTGCACACCCCCTTCCTCCATACACAAAATCTGACACTTCCAGCAGCTTTATGCTCCTGGAGGGCAATTAGTAAGTTATCAAACTCAGTCTTCTACCATCCAGTAGCACGTGAACTGTAAAAGAAAGGAGAAGAAAACACAAACTGTTTCCACTGTGCTGCAATGAGCAATCTGTTCCAATGACAGGACGAACAACTGATGCAGGACAGGGAAATCCACAATCAGCGATCAGACAGCCTAGCCAAAACTCATTTAGAAAAAGGCAAAGGAAAAAGCTGAAAATAAAATTTCAGATAATACCATGGGCTACAATCCTCTTTCAGTTTCTCTTAGACAAGCCTAAAGCACAAGTGAACTGGTCGCAGAAACCATAAGTCTTTTTCTGTAAAAAGAACTATAGTTCACTTATGACCTAAAGTGAACTGAACTAACATCTACAAATTTTACTCCTGAGAGACAGGGGCATTTTGAAGTCAGACGATGTCACCACCGATTGTAAGAGACATTTGTATAGCCCTTGCACACTCCCACCCCTACAAGTAAAACCAAGTCTCTCATCTAGTTCAGTTACAGCCATTTCTCCTATGAATTAAAATCAGTCATATATAAGTAAGATAAGAATTATCACAGCCTTTAACCTGCAGAGTTATGGGTTGGGTTGTTTTTTTTTTTTGCGATAACTTGTTTCTTACTTGGTTTAAGTCTCAAATACTACCCTGAACATGTACTTTTTATAGTCAATATTAGAAGTCCAGTTTTTTAAATAAGAGCGTTTGTTGATACATTAGAAATGTAATATTATAGGGACAGAGTAGCATTTTAACTCTCTTAAGAGAGGCAAGAGAATGGTATGCAGATGTGCCGTAGCTATTAATCTTCTACCCACTACTAGGACTTGCTACGTAACTTTTATTTAACAGATACTACTTATATAAATTCACCAATGAACTACCTGAGGTATGAACTTCGATGATTACACACGACTTAAACTTTTAACAGTTAACAAACCTAAGTGAAAAAAAAATTCAGCAGTATTGCAAGTCAATCACGTGATTGATACAGCAATGCTATAAAAATCACGAGATTGGCACAGTGGTACAACAACAGAATAACTAACCAACTGTTACCAAACAACAATGCCTATATTGTAAAGTTTTTGCATGAAGGGAGGGAAGAGGGTGGGAAGAATGAGGAGGTACCTATTTCTTGCTCAAAAGACAAATAAAGGCTATTACTCCATTTTTTTGTTACTGTCACAAGAAACCGAACTGTTAACATCCACTCATATTTTATTGAAATCACACAAAAAGTTGCTCAAGTGCAGAAAACAAAGCTCTTAAGTAAAGAACATAAAAATATATGGATATTTTAGGTAATTAAAACATACATATACCACACTTTAATGGTGCAATCACTCTGTTAAAAAAAAGAAAAAAGGTATTTAAGCATTTTGGAAGACTTACATTCTGCCATATTTATACACATTAAGAAAAGCACCACTTTTTTCCCCTCCCAAGTATAGAAACTCACTTGTATTATTAAAGCAATTGTGATGGTCTTGCCAAAGGCACAAAATGACTCAAGTCATTCGCAGTTCTTCCTTTACAAGAAGGCTTGAAAATAAGAATCACATACCTGTATGTGGGGCCACGAGGCTTCAAGAGTTGGTTCATCTTCTTCTGGATCAAAATCTGGGTTATCGCTAGGTGGAAGTATTCTGAAAATATTAGAAGTAATCTGCAAGAGAAAAAAATTGATCACACAGATCACACTCAGCAAGGTACTGCTTTTATCCTAAAATTACATTAAAAAACCCATCTTTAAGAAAAAAGTAATGTAATAAATCACTTTTATTCTTTATTTTTTCAAAACGGCTAAATCCAAACAGCCAAAAGTCTGAAACAGGCCAATGAAAATAAGAAAGTAACTTTTGTCTCAACCATTTTACAAGTTTGTAGCTAGACATGGTCATATTTAAAATTTTCCTCTGAAACCATGAAAGTTAAAAGAAAATCTTAGTTTCCCCTTATAAAGACCAATTTTTAACTATGTGACACAGAGTTGAGGTTTTATATAAGACAACAAATACAGTATGACTAACCAATTATGATTTAAACAGAGCACTCTTCATGTATAAGGCAGACAATCCCAAAAATATATCTAATTTTAGATTTCTTCAATTAATTTCAAGTTATTTCTCACTTTCAAGTAAGAACTGAAGAACTGTTTACAATTTTTCACCTTTCATAATTTCAAGATGTTTCAAGGTTTTGGGAAGTCAGAAATACTATACCAATTTTAACTTTTTGATTTAACACAGAGTAGGTTTGAAAAAAATTTAAAAATGGCTACCAAGTTACTTTAAGTATGATATAGTCATATCAAATAAATTTCAAAAGGGCTAGTCTAAAAATGTTTCTTCAGGGATTTTTGAAGTATACGGAAGTCTGGATAGGAGACCAATCTTTCAGATGTCAAAAGAAAAATAAATGTCATCTCTTCTGCCAGATGTAACATACTGGATTTTAAATCTCTAACATGAATAAAACACAACATGAAGTTAATTTTTTTTCTGCATTTTCTACTGTTTTTTCAGGAACACGTTAGCTCAACTTTTCCAATCATCTTTCAAACTCGTTAGTCTTTTGATCAAATCTGTTTCGAACAGCTGCTAACCACCCAAGCCTAACAAACATAAAAGAAAACATTTGACAGGTTGCAGCAAATGCTACTGCACAGCTTCCATGGAGTCTCCAAGGTGTTTGAAGAATCTTGCAAAAGGACTTTAAAAGATCCTGAAGTCACCCATCTGGCTCTGCATAGAAGAATCAGCTGCCTCATTAAACAAGATACAAAGCCATTGCATAAACAGACTTTTCATTTCCTCCTATGCGCTTCATTCTATGTCCTGTCACTGTCTCCTGTTGGTACACTGTCAAGCTGCAGACTCTGCTGCTCTAGAGTAGAAGGGCAATGATGTTCTGTATGGATGGGCACTACAGCAGTCTCCTAGTGTACTGCACAGCAGGGAAAAAAAAAAAAGAGTACAGTTATCCTTTAATGTTGTAAACACAAGGGACTTGGGATTCTGGAGCACATGAGAAACTGGTTGGTGGAAGAAGAGGGGAAAATAGGAGTCTGAGAAAATGTGAATTTTAATCAAGCCCAAAAACAAAGACTACAGTCCTGGTTCTGTTATTTGATATTGCTTACTCTTACTAGGTATTCAATGAAAGCATCCAACATAAAAATCAGAGCCCTACAGAGACTTCCCTACCTCTGCTTACAAGTCTTCTGGTAACGTCTCTTGCTGAACTGAACCAGTCAACCCTTTAGCACAGAACCTCAAAGTACAGAATGCAAAAGTTTCAAGTCCAAAACAAAGGTACTAACTACTGAACATACTTCTGTAGCAGAAAAAAAAATAGCAAGCCTCTTGCTTGCAAGATCTGAAGTCAGATCTTCAGAAAACTAATTTTATGATTTTCAGAGTATTCAGTACTTCTACTAGCATTATCGGTCTCCTGAGAACATATGAAACTTAGAATAAACTGTGTACCATTTTTATGTGCCAGCCTGCCTCCCTAAAGAACTGGCTCATTTACTTCATTATGGTTGAAGTACTTCTGCTTCCTGTCTCATTTGCTTCTTTCTAATGTCTTGCTAATAGTATTGATCAAAAATGTGGTTTGGGTTAAAACCCTCATTGTTTTTCTATGGGCAAATTCTTCTCTATATCCTCTCATATTATTTAAAACATCCCTTTTCCTTTTTAAGTGAGGTCTTATCCCAAAACTGTGATTTGAGAAATACAAATCATAACAGGCTTTTACAGCTAGACAGGTTTCCTGAGAAACCCAGCATTAGCTTTCTAAATTAAATCTCAGAAAGTTTTGTGAAAGTGAGATCTGAAAGTGTGCCAGTTAATGTATTAAGATACAGCAATTACATTTTAGTAAAACAAAAAACAAAAAGAAAAAAGTCCCTTATTGTCTGTACACTTCCCAAGGAGCTAAGCATTTGGAGCGATACTAGATTCAATTCCAATTTCTGAGTGTGCAGATAGGGATATCTGATGTTTTTTTAAATTCTGAATTCACAGCTTATGCAAGCTGCTAGGACAATCTCATTTACATTGGATTTTTATATGCTGGTGGGGTACGAGGGGAGGTTGGCAGGCACAAGGAGATGGAAGAGTAATGTGTACTGGAGGGACATTTCTGTTATGCTCCCAAACCTGATAAAGGCCAGAGCTTTCTAACTTCCCAGGAAGTTTTACAACTTAAAATATTCCACAATGCCAAACCCTAATTTGCTGTTAGCTTCAGAGTACTTTCAACTGAGAATTTCCAAACATAGAAGACACTAGTTTTAGATGACCTAGAAAGGAGGTGCACAGACCACTGTGCTACCCCTTCAGAACTATTTGTAAGCAAAACTCTTCCTCAGTTCTTAATTCAAAAGGCTTTGGTGAAGAAATTACAGGAAAATCAGGTTGCCTGGGGCACCAAAAAGATAACCTACAGCATATGCCCTGCGTACCTGTGTAAACAAAGATTTTTTTTTTTTTTATGATCTTGTTCCATCCTTGGTGGCTTGAAAAGACATTGGTATCATTTCAACCAGCGCTCCCTACCTCAGGATCCAAGCAGAGGAGGGACAACTACACAAGCCATTATTGTGTGGTACTGGCCCAGCAGCTATCATGGTAACAGAGACCATGTGAAGGGAAGGAATGCTAGGAGACCTCCTCACCTGCACAGACCTTGCCTATGCACTGGTCAGGAGCAACATTTTTTTTCCTCTTGATATCTGTAAGGGACTGTTGACTTTGCCTCCCCAAGACTTGGGCGAGTCCAAGCAAACTGGGCTGCTTTCTCTGCAAGCTGGAGGAAAGGTGTCCCAGGCA